TAGATGTCCGGGTAATGCGTCTCGGCGAACACGCGGTCCAGCTCCTTCAGCTGCGAGCTCGTGAAGGTCGTGCGGATCCGCCGCTGCTTGCGCTTCTCGTTCAGACCCGACGCGTCCGAGAAGAACTTGTACGGAACTGAAAGAGGAGCGAAGATCAGTCAGTGACGGGCAGAACAGGAGAGCAGAAGAAAGAAAGACGAGCTCCTATTTATAAGATTGCTCATAAATATATTTTATTTTAAACTCTCATTTTCTTCATTTCATGCAGAAGCGCGTCTAGAAAATCAGTGCCATGAAGTATAAAAATAACATTTACACCACTGTTAAACTACAATGTTTTACTTTTAAATTAAGTGACATCTGTCATTTCTGTGTGAATTCCGTGAAATTAATGATTTATTCACCGCACAGAAATATGAGCCGGGACAGTTTATTTCCAATAAACGCTCTGTTTGATTATAGATCTGTAGGACATCATTAAATTAATTACTTTAAATGAATTTGATGCGCATCAAATTATTAAATGCAGTCACATTTAACTAGGATTCCAGTTTGAATTTGCAACTGGGCATCGGCTATCCAAATTTTAAAGACGAATTTTATTCCTTAAATCATTCAAAATGAGCTTTACATTTTAAAATAAGAAAAAATTGATTTTTTTGGTTTTGGATCACCTGTTCACGGATTTCTGGAGCTCAGTGGTGCGTCTTGACACCTGTTATATTTAATAAGTCACTGTATTTATGAAGCGCTTCGAGCTTTTGTGCGTCTTTTTCCCCCCCATCTGTGACATGTTTTGGTCTGATTGTGTGTGATTTTAGTGGTGTGTGTGTGTGTGTGTGTGTTACCTGTGCTGTAGGGCGCGGGCTGGTGCTCTCTCAGCGCGCCCAGAGTGCAGCTGGCGGAACCGAGCGGAGCGCATCCCGGGCCGGAGCTGAAGCCGGTTCGGATCGGGTTGTACTGGAACGTGTTCGCCTGACTGCACGAGTTAAAGTCCGCGTACGCCGACGCCTCCATCGCCGCCATGCACGAGTCATACGTGTTCAGATACGAGTAATCCATTTTGTACATGTGGAGGGCGGACGGAGACGCGAAAGCTCCGGTTGCGGCGTCAAACTCCAGCGGAACGCGTGGTTTTCTCGCGGTATCCAGCGCGTGTCTCTCGGTGGCGGTGTTCCGGTGCTCTGCTGCGGCGGGCGGCTCGCGGTGTGTTTATAATAAAGTTGGTGTCCGGGAGACAATGGCGAGGCGGTGGTCTCTGTTTGCATGACAATGTCTCAGCGCTGAACGCCTCCTCCCCTCTGCTCCTCCATGCATCTCTAATGCACCTCCGCGTTAACCCTTTCCAATCATCATCCTCATCCTCATGGTCAGTTTCCTTCTTTATATTTGCTCCTTTTGAAATATCCTCTTTCTGTGTTAACACTCTTAAAAATAAAGGTGCTTCACAGCGATGCCATAGAAGAACCATTCGGTCAAAGGTTCGGTTACACTTTATTTGAAGGTGTCATTGTTACAATGTAGTTATACATTTAAGTACTGAGTAATATTAATTAACTTCATGTACTTATCTATTGGGTTAGTAACAATTTATTGTTATTACATGTAACGTGTAACAAGGCCACCTTCAAATAAAGTGTTACTAAAGAACCATCTCTTTTCTTACCTTTTTATAATCTGGAGAACCTTCTTCAGATGTTAAAGGTTCTTTATGGAACCATTTAGACAAAAAAAAAGGTTCTTCTATGGCATCACTGTGAAGCACCTTTATTTTTAAGAGTGTATTCCGTTCAGCGTGCGCAGATATAATTTTAAATAAATGACTATTAATGGCTATTAGGACTAATGTCATTAGGGCGAGAATGGGCGAGTTTTCAAGAGCGGACGCATTCTAGCTCGCGCTAAATGAATTGTGGGATTGTTTCAGCTTTAATGTGGCTCTGGTTGGTAGTGTGAGATGAAGTTTAATTTGATTGCAGGAATAATGGCCTTTATTTAAGACCGCACGCGAAACCCCTTCGAGTTGACATGTAGACTTTAGACGCTGAATAAAATAAAATAAAATAAAATAAACGTGAGTTCAGATGAAATTTTAATTAATATCGCGTTAATTTTGTTCTTTTATCCGCGCACGTCTCTTGATGGAAACCTGCTGCTCAGGATCACGTGCATCTGTTTGCTGTCAGTCACTGTTATTACACCAGAAATCTCCAGAAATTATTTTATCTGAGAGTTAAATGTGATGCACCCACGAAACCCCCCCCCAAAAAAAACCCACAATAAAAAAAATTATAATTTGACGCGGATATTATCCATGCAGTTAAAGCCACATTATCTTTGTTTACTTCATCAGTTTGCTTCGTTATGAATTGCTAATGTTTAATCAAACAATAATTAACATTTAACATAAAAATCGGTTACACTTTATTTTGATAGTCCCCTTTTGACAGTCTACTAACTATAAGCAACTACATGTCAACTAATTCTCATTAACTTGCAACTACATGTCTACTAACTCTCAGAGTAGACTGTTAGGTTAGGTTTAGTAGAATAAGTTGACACAGTCAGTGTGTCTAAAGTGGACTATCAAAATAAAGTTTTACATAAACAATCACATTCAAAATTATGCTATAATAATCGCATTTAACCGGAAACCTGTTATCAAATTAGGGACAAACTGTATTTGTATGTAAATGCGCAATATTTTAGCCATATGTGTCCCTGGAGCACAAAAGCAGTGTTAAGTCGCTGGGGTGTATTTGTAGCAATAGCCAACAATACATTGTATGGGTCAAAATTATAGCTTTTTCTTTTATGCCAAAAATCATTAGGATATTAAGTAAAGATCATGTTCCATGAAGATATTTTGTAAATGTCCTACCGTAAATATATCAAAACTTAATTTCTGATTAGTAATATGCATTGCTAAGAACTTAATTTGCATCTGTTTGCTGTCAGTCACTGTTATTACACACCAGAAATCTCCAGAAATTATTTTATCTGAGAGTTAAATGTGATGCACCCACGAAACCCCCCCCCAAAAAAAACCCACAATAAAAAAAATTATAATTTGACGCGGATATTATCCATGCAGTTAAAGCCACATTATCTTTGTTTACTTCATCAGTTTGCTTCGTTATGAATTGCTAATGTTTAATCAAACAATAATTAACATTTAACATAAAAATCGGTTACACTTTATTTTGATAGTCCCCTTTTGACAGTCTACTAACTATAAGCAACTACATGTCAACTAATTCTCATTAACTTGCAACTACATGTCTACTAACTCTCAGAGTAGACTGTTAGGTTAGGTTTAGTAGAATAAGTTGACACAGTCAGTGTGTCTAAAGTGGACTATCAAAATAAAGTTTTACATAAACAATCACATTCAAAATTATGCTATAATAATCGCATTTAACCGGAAACCTGTTATCAAATTAGGGACAAACTGTATTTGTATGTAAATGCGCCATATTTTAGCCATATGTGACCCTGGAGCACAAAAGCAGTGTTAAGTCTCTGGGGTATATTTGTAGCAATAGCCAACAATACATTGTATGGGTCAAAATTATAGATTTTTCTTTTATGCCAAAAATCATTAGGATATTAAGTAAAGATCATGTTCCATGAAGATATTTTGTAAATTTCCTACCGTAAATATATCAAAACTTAATTTTTGATTAGTAATATGCATTGCTAAGAACTTAATTTGAACAACTTTAAAGATGATTTTCTCAATATTTAGATTTTTTTTTTTTTGCACCCTCAGATTCCAGATTTTCAAATATTGTCCTATCCTAACAAAGCATACATCAATGGAAAAATTATTTATTCAGCTTCCAGATGATGTATTAATCTCAATTTCCCAAAAATTGACCCTTGTGACTGGTTTTGTGCTCCAGGGTCACATATGTGTCATTTCAAGGAACACGGATTCCGTTCGTCTGACTTTTGACTTCTGACCCTGTAAACAGCGGGAATCTGCGCGGTTATCCCGGAGCGGAGCGGCGCGTCACGGCGCATTTGGCTGATTTCTGGTGCGCGGCGGCGGCGGAGCTGACGCGCCCTTCAGACTCCATCCATCAGCGGCCGCATCATGCGCATCATCCGCGTGGGTTAACGTGTGCACCGGGACGCGACGATAGACGCACGCCTGCAACAAGTCACCGCGGACCCCGAGTGAAGCCTTTCAGCACGCGCTCACCTGAGAGGAGCTCAGCATCTTAAGACCAACGGAGCGCTCGCGCGCTGAGGCCTGCAAAGATCTCTTCAAAGCAAACCTGAGATACGGCGTGCAAATAAACAGATATGAGAATATAATGGATATTAAACAAATACCAATAAAATAAAGCAAAGCAAAAAACGAATAAGCAAAAGCAGAAACGAATTAATTAAATGGACTACTTGCAAATCAAGTCACCGTTAATTTGGCATTTTAGATTGTGTAGTGAAATAAAAAAGACATAATAGAAATGGACAATGTATTATATTAAACTTAATTTGATTAATGAATATTTATATGCATAATTAATAATTATATGTTTATTATAATGTGTTGATTTATTAATATTAGATATTAATTATAATTTTATAATATGCACCAATGACACGCGGCAGTTCAGTATATATATATATATATAATGGATACATTTTAAATGCATGACTATAATTTTTTTCCCTCGTAAAAATGACCTTAATTGTCAATAAAAAAAATTTTAAAAAAAGAGGTAACACTTTACAACAAGTTTCATAAGTTAACATGAACTAAGCATGAACAATACTTCAGCAATTATTAATCTTAGTTGATGTTAATTTACTAATGCTTTATTAAAATCAAAAGTTGTGCTTGTAAATATTAGTTAAGGCACTGTGAATTAATATGAACTAACAATGAACGACTGTATTTTAATTAACTAACGTTAACAAAGATTAATAAATGCTGTAATAAATGTATTGTTCGTTGTTCGTTCATGTTAGTTAATACATGAACTAATGGAACCTTATTGTAAAGAAAACAGGGTTACACTTTATTTTAAGGTGTCCTTGTTACAGTGTAATTATACATTTAAGTACTGAGTAATATTAATTAACGTGAGCCCGGTCTCATGACAATGCGTATAAAATAGTACGCCAAATACAAACAGAAAGTCGTGCTATTGATATACGCAGAAATTGACTTTGGCGTGCATATGATACGCACATGTTTGGCGTGCATATAATACGCAGTTTTCGCGTGCATATGATACGCATCTACCCCACAACCCTTGTCCTACCCATTGCGTATCATATACACGCCAAAGTCAATTTCTGCGTATAAAAAACAAACAAACTCGTGCTATTGATACGCACTTTCGTGAGATCAGGTTGTTTGTACTGAATAGCATATGTTTGGTGACGTTTAGACCCGTAATTCGCATGGAAACCATAAAGACGCGTGGTTGTCTCTGCATGGTGCCACCCGCTTTCAGAGGGTCACCGGAGCCATGCGTCACGCAGACGCGTCGCGTCTCATCCGTCCCCGATCCGTCATCCTCTCTCTCTCTCATCAATCTCTCTCTCTCATTAGCTCAATCTGCATTCAGCAGTGATCGGTCACCGGGAGACGCGCGCCTCGCTTTAATGGCCCGACCATCGGATGCGATTACTGTCAGCCAAACCAAACCAACCCAAGCACAATTCAATTAGTCCCTCCGCTTTTCATTTCTTTATTTATTTCGTGCTCGGAAAATGCCTTTTTTTTTT